CGGCCAGCAGCGCGGCGCGCGGCCCCGGCGCCAGCTCGGAGCAGAAGCGTAGGAGCTGTTCCTGGCCAGCGCGCTGCAGCCGGGAGCGCACGTCCTGCTCCGAGGCCATGTCGTCCAGGCCGCGCCGCCGAGCCGAGTGAGCCCCCGTGATCCGTCACGGGACCCAGCGGGCGGTGCCGACCCCCGCGGGGACGGGCCCAGAACGCCCCGCCTCTGGACCTGGGCCCGCCCCTTCCTGGCCTCGGCCCGTCCCCTCTGCCCTCGGGAGGGCTCGCACCCACCTAGTTGCAGCTTGGCGGACCGTCCGCAGGGTTGATTCCCTCCCTAAGTGAGCGGAGGAGCTGCTCCTGAACGCCAGGGGAGAAAGAGTACCAGAGGCACGGGCCCGGGGCGGCAGGCCCCTAGGAGAGTGAGGGCTGACTTCAGTTCGAATCCATCGTCCTCCCAGTCTCCAGCGGTGGCGGGGAGGGCTGGCTGGTGTGGCCAGGTTTGCATTTTTACCCAGACCCCGGCTGAGGAGCCCGGGGTAGGAAGAGGCCAGATTCCGGGCTGGGCCAAGTCACCAAAGCCTTCCGTGACGATGATGTCGCAGCACGAGCTCCCATTGCTGGATGCTCCTTAGCAGCCCCCTGACCTACTTGGTTATTTTCACTACCAGGTTTTCACACTGCTCTTTGTATACTTACTTGTGAAACGTGTGGAACAGTAGCTTAGGCCGGAGACAAAACTTTATCGTATAACCTAGGTTTATGTCTAAAAATAATGTGTGTTGTTATTTAACTACCGAATCCATTCCGACTCCTGGCGACCAGGTGTGTGCAGGGTGGAAGTACTCTGTGGGGATGTTTTCAAGGCTGACCTTTCGGAAACATCTTCAGGCCGGACTTGGCAGGTGTCTTTAGGTGGGTTCCAGCAGCCCACCCTTCACTTACTTGTGGTGGTGGTTTTGAGCTGCTGTGTTGGTTCCAGTGTATAGCAACCGAGGGGCATCTGGAGTCACAGAGAGATCTTGTCAAGGTTCCCCCTTAGATAGGACACAGTTTTGTACGTCTGATCTTCTTTTTAAAAAAAAACTTTGGGTTTTCCTTCTCTGACGGGTTTCTGCCTTACGCAGGTTCTGGCTTTCACAGGTTCACAAAATGTTCAAACGAGGCTTTAGGACAGGTAATGAAAAGTACAGTCTTCCCCCCAGCCCTTCTCTTCCCACCCTGTTAATCTGGGTATGGTGTCTCCTTGCAGGCAGGTTCTGTCTAGCTCATGAGGGAGCCCTGGACAGCCTTCCTTATTGGGTTAGGCAGCTGAGCGTCCCAGCTTTCCTGGGCCCACAGTGCATCTTGTGAACCTAACAGACAAGGCTTTGGCCCCTCCACACAGCATTTGTACCTGCTGCTCACGGCCCAAATGCTGTTCCTCATGAAGGCAGGTGTTTGCTCTCATGTTACCTCCTTGAGGGAACCCACCCAGGTCACATGATCTCAGCCACCCTCCAGTCCTCTGTCCATCCTTCCTTCCTGCTACAAGGACAAGGTTTTGCTCCGTTTGCTGCTCTGCCCCGTCACCGATCACTGGTCAGTACAAAGTAGCCATGGGCATACAGGCAGTTAGAGGGTGGGGTAGGAGGTGGGGAGCCCGGTGGGGACCAGAGTCCATGGGAACTCTTATCTCCCGGCAAGGCTGAGTCGTAGAGATAAGGCCTCGCCTGGTGAGCCCGAGGTACCTGCCAGGCCCGGAGCAGCTGAGTTGATTCACCTGGTTGGGCAGGTGGGGGCCCCAGTGGGATGGAGGGGCTGTGACCTGTGTTGTTGTTGTTAGGTGCCATCGAGTCAGTACTGACCCATAGCGACCTTATGCGCAGCAGAAGGAAACATTGCCCGATCCTGGGCCAACCTCACTACTATTGCCACGCTTGAGCCCATTGATGCTGCCACTTGGCCAATCCATCTCGCTGGGGGTCTTCCTCTTTTTCTCTGACCCTCAACCTTACCAAACATGATATCCTTCTCCAGCAACTGGCCCCTCCTGACAATATGTCTGAAGTATGAGAGATGAAGTTGTAGAGACCAGGAAACTCCTTTCCCTCTGTCCTAGGGCCTCCTCCACCAGGCGTGTCCTCCAGCAGAACCCTGGGAAAGGCAGAGGAGACTGGACAGCCTCGTGCCTGCTCCTTCATCGGTGCCCAGCACCGGGATACAGGGGAGCCTCAAAGAGAGGGCCAGGGGCCACCAGGGGGCCCACCTGGCCTGGGGGTCAGGGAAGGCCCCAGAGGTGGCAGTGGAAAATGAAAGCTAAAGGGTTGGATAAGTGCCAGGCTGCAAGGAAGGGAGGTGGAAGGAGGAAGTGGTCAGAGCTTGGAACAGGAAGGACACCAGGCCACATCCCAGTCTAGCTTCTTCCATAGCCCAGTTCTGGGATTGTTCATGGGCCAGACCAAGGCCCAAGAGTCAGGGGGGACTGGAGCGCCTCAGAAGCCCCTCAGGGCTAGCCCCCCTTCTTTCCAATGGGGCTGCCTCTCAGGTACTCTCGACACTTGAGAACCTGATGGCTTCATGTGGTGGGCTCCGGCCTGGGCACTGGTGGTCTTGCTGCATTGTTACTTGTCCCTGGTCACTGGCCTCAGCATCTACCTGGTCTTACACACACCCCTGCGCTCCCAAGGCCTCTCTCCCTGGCACAGTTTCCTACCCTGGAAGGGCACTCCTGTAACTGCCCCACGATAAGGCCCCTGTGAGCATCTGCCCTAGACCAGGCTGACACCCTGTAAGAGCACAGAACTTGGGGACCACTGTACTAGCCAGGAGAAAGCAGGCTGCTGCTTGGAACCTCTGGGGTCTTGTCAGACTTCTTGGGGGAGAGGCAGGTGGTTGCACAGAGCTTTGGAAGATGCAGAGAGGGGGAGATACGTGGCAGAAGACCCCCCCCACACACATTCCGGGGCCCAGTTAGGAGGGGATGTGGGGCCTGGAGGGCTGGCCACATAGAGGGGGAGAGGAGAGGCTATAGAGCAAATGGCTCGAATGCCAGGACTGGACAGGCCACTAAAGGGGAAGCAAGGGACAGACAGGCTCATTGGGTACCCTTCACGGCCTCCTGGGAACTCCCCAGATTCCTACACCAGTTTGATTGGAGGAACCCTAGAAAAATGGATTCAGGCCACTTCCAGGACAGAGCAGCTGTCCACAGGCACTGGGGGCCATGGTGCCCAAGGACATGGTGGCCCAGTTAGGAGGCTGGTGGAGGCTTAATGAGGGGACCGGAGGTAAGACAGTCAAAGGGCTAGAGCAGACTGGCCTAGTGGGATTTGACTGCAGGGAATTTGGCAACAATTTGCTGATTTAGTCCAGAAACCTCAGAGTCTGTTTTGAAAGCAGAGGCTGCAGGTAACTCTGGGTCCTTGCCCAGGTGGGATGACTGTGTAGGGAGGGGCCGGGATCGGGACTGGGTAGGTGTTAGAGGACAGGGGAAAGAGAGTTCCAGGCAGACAGCATCCTGGGCATTTGAGAAGGCACCCCCAAAGCCAGACTGCAGACGGCAGGGCCTCCCTCCCAGACTGGTGGGCCAGGGTCACCAGATCCATCTGAAGCTCAGTAATGCCCTCTGGCCCACCTGTGAAGAGGCCGTGTGTGGGTAGCTGTGGAGGTTGTCCAGCCACAGCACGCCAAGCCTAGGGGAGACCTGTTTCCAGATGGGGATCTGAGGACACAGGAGAAAGTGGCTTTGTCTTGCAGTCTGCAGACAGTCCCAAAGGAGCTGGCAGCACTGTGTGTGTGAAGGGAAGCGCCCAGCTGGCTGGAGCCAGAGGTCCCCTTGGGACTCTCCTAGCACAGGAAAAGCAGGGGCCCAGAGGCAGCTTGTGGCTGTGGCCAGGGGACTTTCAGGGAAAAGGGCCCTGGGGGAGTCAGAGGAAAGGTGGGGTCCTAGGAGGAATGACCTCTATCCTTAAACCAGGGGGCCACCTGGGGACAGGTTTTCCGCTAGGCTTCAGGTCCCGCCCCTCTGAAAGGGAGGGTTGGTGGTTGGCGGCTGGGGAATGAGAAGCCTTCTGTGGGCTCCCTCCACCCCCTAACCTCTGGGAGACGGCCAAAGCAAAGATGCCTCATCCCTACACGGCCAGGGCCCCGGCGCGCCCACGAGGACTGGCCGGGCGGTAGAAGGAACGCGCAAGGCGCGGGCCCCAGGGCTGGAAAAATCAAACTCGGGCTGGCTGTCTCTCAGCCAATCGGGGAGGCGATGAGCCAGCATCGGCCAATTGCTGCTGCGAATGCGAATGCTAATGCTAATGAAGGATGACGCGACGAGGTGGGTTCCATTCAAAAAGTAGCAGCTATTGTCGGAAGGGGTGCGCGCGCCGGGCCGGGCCCCGCAGTCTCGGGGACGAAAGCCCAGCAGACTCGGGGACCGGCCCGAAACAGACCTCGGGGCTGACGCGGGGGCAATCCCTTGGGGGTCCCGGGGTGGACGTGCGGACAAGCTTCAGGATAGACTTTAGGGTAGATCCCGGATCAGGCCACTGGGCGGACGCAGGGACAGACCCCGGGTTGCTCGGGCGCCCATGGCGGCTGCAACGATGACAGAGCCGGGCCGCGTGCTGCCTGCCGCCGCGCTCGCGCCAGGCCTGGGCACCGAGGGGCTGCCGCGCGCCTTCCTGCAGAGCCTGCGCACCCTCTTCGACATCCTGGACGACCGGCGGCGCGGCTACGTGCACCTGTGCGAGATCGAGTCACGATGGCAGGGCGCCGACGCGCGCGAGCTGCCCCGCGGTGTGCTCGAGGGTCTGCGGCAGGCGGCCCCGGCCAGCGGATACCTGACTTTCGAGCGCTTCGTGGCCGGCCTGCGCTCCTCGCTGCCGAGCGCCGAGGGCGGCCCGCGGGACCCGGCGCGCGCCCTGGCCCGGGGAGGAGGACCTGGTGCACGGCCCTCCGAGAAGCCCCAGCCGCCGCAGCACTTGCTCTTCGCGCCGGCGGATGAGCCACGCACGATGCTAGAGAAGAAGGCCCTGCCCCCGGGCGCGCGCCCTCAGCGGGCCCGGCCCGGAGCCGCGGCCCGGAGCCTGGAGCAACTGTGCGTCTCACCTGAGACGGCGCCCGGGCCCTCGGAGCCCGAGCGGAGCCTGAGCGCGGACTCTGGTGAGTGCTGGCGGTCCCCACTTGGGAAGGGGACCCTCGACCCAGCTGGGAGCTGCTGCCCTTGCATTTTCCGTGGGGGCGGCCGGGGGACAGCACTTGTGGAGCGCACCTCGACGGGACCAGCCCCTCCCTTGCCACAGCACGAGGACAGCAGATAGTCCCAGGAGTCCACTCCATGCCCGCTCCGTGAGTTGTCTCCCTGCCTGATAATGCAAGAGGGCTCCCACCTGGAGTGTCTGAAGACCCCATAGTCCCTTTGCATCATCCTTGCGGCTGCTTGGGTCCCTTTCAGTCTGACAGCTTAGCCAAACCTAGGGCTAGGATGAACCGCTGGAGGTGGCCCAGGACAACCTGCCCTTGGTTTCCAGGGTTAACAAGGGGGCAGGTGGGTCTCCAGCAAGGCCTGGCATTGGCAGCTCTGTGGGACCCCTCTACCCCCAACCTGTGGTTGATGCCAGGCAGGGACAGACCACAACGGCTGAGGATGGACTGTAGGCTTCCTGCTGGCTTCCAGTCGAGTTGGCAGGGATGACAGGAGATGGCTGAATGGTCCCCTTTCTGTCCCCCAACCCGGGCGCTGCATTAGGAACAAGACCTGCATTATGCCCAGATCCCTGGGGCCCAGTTAGAAGGGGATGTGCCCTCATCCAGCCCACCCATGTGCCATCCAGCACCCAATCCAACCTGCACTCCACTCCCCTAAGATGCAGGCGGCAGCTGCCCACCAACTAGTTCAGCCATGTTTCCCAGCCGTGTGGCTGGTGCTTGGAGCTGCGTGCACCTCCCGGATTCTGTGAACGGTGTTAGCAGCCTCACTACAGGCTGGGGGTTCTCCCTTCCAGGCGTCTCCTGATCCTCTTCCCTCCCTGCCCCACGGGAGTTCTTGGGGGTAGCTGACCCAAATGCACAGTGTGACATCAGCCGGAGTGCCTCTGGGATAGATGAGCGGGAGGTGGGGCCTGTGGGTGTGTAGCGCTCTCAGTAACTGCACATGCTCAGTGCCCACCAGGGGGCAGCACTCACTCTGAGTCCCCTCAGGCCTCAGGCCAACCAACCTTGAGAATGAGCAGACAGGCTCCCTGTGACAGAGCTGGCCCTCGGTGCTAAATCTAGACCCCCAAGACTCCCAGTTCCCCAGGAATAGAAAGTCCCCTCCACAACTTCTCAAGCTTCAGCTGAGATCCAAGCTCTTCTTCCTTCTACCTGCAGGGGGTGGAGCTTGATGTGCCTCGCAGGGCGCCATAGATGTAGGACCCCATAGGTGCAGGTTGCTAGTCTGGGCCCAGAAAGGGACAGGGCTGCCTCCACCTGTGGGTCACCCACCCCATGGACATCCAGTATGCTGCAGGCAAGTGTCCAGGTGCTGCCCTGTGGGCTTAAGTGTTCCCCCCTGCGCCTCCTGGAGGCAGGAACTTGGCAGTGTGGCCTCCCCATGCACGGTGGCAGGTTGGAACAAGGAGACTTGGATCCCACACGGAGCCATTCTGCCCTGGCTGGCAAGAGCTCAGTGCCACCACTTGGTGGACGTCTCACCTAGGCCCTCAACTAGCCTCAGCCGCTGGGCCTGGGCTCAGGGACCATGGCCTCTGAGGTTGCGCCTTGTGCAGGGCCAGCACTAGACAGCTGCAGGAAGCTACTTGCCTAGCCCCATCCCTTCCCCTCCCGGAAGTTGGCTTGGGGAGCTCCACACATAACCCCCATCCTCCAAGGAAGCCAGGGTGCCCACAGCCCTGGGTGGTGCTCCTTTAGACCCCTTCAGCTCCCTGGCCCAAGCAAACTGCTGTAAGTGTGATGTTTGTGCCTACGAGTGTGCACCACAGAGACCTTACGTGCAGGTGTGACTCCGTTTACACAATTGTTGTCCCAATCGCCTGCATCCTGCCTGCTTTGAAGCTGTCTTCCTCAGAGGTTCTTCCCTTTTCCTGGGAAGGCCTGAGAGGCCTGAAGGACCCTTCTGACCCCTTATAGCAATATGGGCACTTGGGCGAAGCCCCCGGCCCTCTGGGCTGGTGTGTGTGTGTGGGGGTAAGCAAACATGAGGCACAACTGGTACTAATGTAGACTGGGGGAGGAGCCTGCAGAGGTACAGACCCCTTCCCCTGGCTCTGCCCGCCCCCCACCCCCAGCCTGCGTTGTCGGGGTTGGCAGGGCAGTGAGGTGGGAAGAACAGGTAGGTCTGGAGTGAGCCGGCCCATGCTCTCTGCAGATGCAGCTGCCTGTAGGGCTGTGGAGGTGGACCTGGCGAGTAGCCGGCGGCCCCCACGTGCCCGAGGGGAACATCGGAGGCACACCATCACCAGTGGTGTGGACTGCGACCTGGTAAGTGAGGGTCATCTGGGCCACTACTTGGCCTGAGTCTCTGGGGAGCCTGTAATGGCACTATAGGATAAGCACTGGACTGCTAAGTGCAAGTTTGGTGCTTTAAACGGAACTGAAGAGAAAGACAAAGCTGTCCGCTCCCGGAAAGATCTATAGCCGCAGGGACCCTATAGAGGGTCACTGTGAGTCAGAATCGACTTGGCGCCAATGGGTGGTGTCTTTCTTCTTTTTGTGGTGAGAAAGTTGGTCGGATCTAAACATCTCTCTTGAAAACCCCTGCTTGAAAACCATTTGGGGGTGGGGGGGTCAAAATCAGGGAGCAGACAGCTGAGGTGTTTAGGTTGATGGGCTTGGCCCCTTCCTTCAGCTGTTGTCCACCAGGTTAGGCCAGCTCACCAGCTGTGTGAGCTCAGGGACAAGTCTTCTTCCCCTCCTGGGCAGAGGCGCTGAGAGGTCAAGCCTGGCCCAGGTGTATACCTGCACAGGTGTGTTTACAGATGTCTGCTGCTGTGCACATGTGACTGTATGTGGACCCACACTTCATACACACCGTGGATCCTTGTGCACACATGCACACATGTGGGCTTATTTGCACACGTGCCTGACAGGTGTGCGCATGCCTGTGTGCACATGCGTGTTGCAGCTGAAGCAGCTGAAGGAGTTACAGCAGGAGCAGGATGTGCTGGTGCAAGGGCTGGGCATGATGGCGCGGGGCCGGGACTGGTACCAGCAGCAGCTGCAGCGGGTGCAAGAGCGTCAGCGCCGCCTGGGACAGAACGGAACCAGCACCGTGAGTGACACCTCCGCCCCGCCCCCACTCACAGAGACTGTCTGGGCCCCACCACTGTGAGTGACGCCTCCGCCTCCGGGCTATGGGCGGGCCGACCCCGCCCCTACTTACAGACACTGCCCCCCCTACCCCACGAAGGCTCCACCGTGAGTGACGCCTCCGCCGTGCGTGGGCCAACCCCGCCCCCACTCACAGAGACTGCCCCCCACACACCCTGCGAAGGCTCCGCTGGGAGTGATGCTGGCCTGGGTCCAGGGAACAGTGGCAGACCCTCTCACCCCACCTCCGTCCCAGCACTGTGACCTGCCCCACTCCAGCCCCTACCAGGAGCTCTAGGTCCCCCTAGGCTGTCAGAGCCACCTTGGGGGGCAGTCGGCCCTGCTGACCACCAACCCCACTTCCCTTCCAGGACTTGGGAGCTGAGGGGAGCTTTCGTCCACTGGGACAGCTGCTGCCCAAAGTACAGGAGGTGGCCCGGTGCCTCGGGGAGCTGCTGGCAGCGGCCTGCGCTGGCCGAAGCAATGTCCTACCAGACCACCCCGACAGGGTGAGTGCCCCTTCTCCCATGCAGGCCGGGTGCCCTTCTCCCTGACATGGAGGACTGAGGGACACCTCCCAGTCCGCTTGACCCTGCCCTCCCACAGGCTCCGCCCTCCTCCTCCACCTCTGCGCCCCCTGGCCCCCCTTGGCCTGAACAGACCATTTTCATGCTGAAGGAACAGAACCGGCGCCTCACCAAGGTGAGAGGCCGGGAGGGTGTGGGGTGGGACCAGGGGGCTCTTCAGGCTTGACCAGGCATGCCCACCCCCCAGGAAGTGACGGACAAGAGTGAACGCATCACCCAGCTGGAGCAGGAGAAGTTGGCCCTCATCAAGCAGCTGTTCGAGGCCCGCAGCCAGCAAGAGGCTGGGCCCCTGGACTCGACCTTTATCTAGTAGCTGACAATGCTGCCATGGCCTCTGACCTGGCAGGTGCCCCTCCTCTCGCTCCCAACCCCCAGGTCCAGGGGTGCTGGCGGGGAAGAGACCCCTGGCTTCATGATGGCATCCTGGCTTCTGGAGCAAACCTTAGAGGGGCTGGCCTTCACAGCCTGAAACTGCTACTGCACACCAGAGGAGAGCGGGGACCCTCCTCTGTTATGGGGTCTCAGGTGGCCCCTGAGCACGGCCCCACACCCATGTTTACAGCTGTCCTGTCTTCCTCCCCTTGAGTTTGGGGTCTGAGCCCAGGTCCCTAGTAAATGTACAGATCCCACCAGGACGCACTTCCGTCTATGGCCAGCAGGGGGCGCCGAGCCAGGGCCTGTTACTGCAGGGTGGGATGGCTTTGACCCAGGGGCGCCAAGGGCAGCATCCTTCTCTCAAACCGAGGGGACCCGACAAGGTGGCAAATGGGAGCAGGGGAGCATCCTTGGGTTTCAACCAGGGCCACGTTCCTTGCAGGAAGTGGGGGGGAGCCCCGGAAAGGTGCATGGTCAGGCTGAGGCTGAGTGGGGAAGGAGAAGTTGGGCACTGGTGAAACAGGGGTTGGGCGGTGGTGAAACACACTGGGCAGGTTCCCTGAGTCGGCCAGAGAGTGGAGCCTTGTCCCCTCCCCACAAGCGGGGCCAGGTGTGTGGGGATACCAGGCTGCAGATGGAGTCCCAAGGAGCAGCCTGGGGCCCAGCTCAGGATCCTGAATGGGGGTGGGATTCAAGGCTCAGGTGTGCCCCTATTCTGGAGTGATGTCCCTAGGAGAGTGTCCATTTGAACCTTCCAGATGTGCCCTGAGGCATTTTGTGGGCGTGGGACCCCCAGCTGGGTCTGTCTGCTGGATGCAAGATCTGGGGGGGCTACCACACCCAGAATTGGCCCAGGTTTGGGCAGGGAGAAGACACTTCCTTAGTGACAGGGTTAACTGCCAGATAAAGGAAGAGGCTGGGGGTGGATTCCACGTCCAAGGGTCCAGACTCTGGTGGGAGCATGGACAGTAGCCTCCCCACACAAGCTCCAGGCACCCTAGTGTGACCTCCTGGGCTCTGGCTCAGCGGTCACCCATTGGCAGGTACTCTTGGCCTTATGTGTGTATGTGTGTGGGGGGCAGGTCAGGCCTGAATCCCACCGAGCACAAGACCCCACCAGAGGATGGGGTAGGATCTCTGGGGTCCTCTACCACCCCAGACCTAGACTTCCTGGCCTCACAGATGTAGGTATGGGTAAACATCATGGGTCCAAGTCTTAGGACCAGAGACTGGAAGGGAGGGGTTCCTGAAAGAAAGTCTCACGAGACCAGCACCCAGCCCGAGAATTGTGTCTTTCTTCCCATCCGTGGGTGCAGGCCCTGATCCTGCCCCCAAGGGGAGCCCCTCCACCAGCAGGTGATATTTCCAGGACTACCTCCACTGTCTAGCCCTTCCCGTGCTCGACCTTCACAGCCTGTCCCCTCCCCTCTGCACTTCCGTCAACCTGCCTTCTTACTTCATCAGGCTGGCCCTCTGCTGCAGACAGCAAGGAAGCCACAGAGAGGGCCTCCTCTGACCAGCCCGGAACTCAGCAGGCATTGCCTACATCAAGAGCCCTCCCCCCAGGGAGCAGGAACCACCCCTGAAACACGCTCGTCCTGCATAAGGTGGCTCAGGGACACATGTCCCTTAGTAATTTTCCCTAGGTCCCAGTTGACCATGGATGTGTGAGTTTATTTCTGAAATCTTCCCAAACATGTTTTTATTATGGCAAGAGACATATAATGTAAAATGTGTCATTTTAAGTGCAATTCAGGAGATCTGATAGCATAATGGTTACGACTCAGGTTGCTAACCTCAAAGTCAGCAGTTCAAAACTAACCTCCCCTCTCCATTCCGTGGGAGAAAGGTGAGGCTTGCTGCTCCCATAAAGATTTACAGCCTCGGAATCCCCATACAGGGTGACTGAGTGGGAACCGACTCCACAGCACACCGCCACCACCAAGGCGACCCAGTACTGTCACAGAGCTGTATAGTCACCACTACTATTAACAACTTTCTCATCAAGCAGAAATCTTGAACCCATGGCACACCGATCCCCCATTCTCCCCTCCTCCAGTTCCGTGGGAACCTCCCCTTTCCGTCTATAAATTCCACTTGTTATTCTTGACCTCGGGGTGCCATGGGAAAAAACGTTTCCTCCACGTTGGCCCCCTGAGATCAGGTTCCCTGTGCGACCCCATAGATGTGGTGGTCCTGGTGGTGGTAGGGAGGCCCAGCCAACGGCAGGAGGGGCCAGTAAACTTGGGTGGACAATTCTTTGCTGTACAGGCCGCTCTGTGAGTTGTATGGTGTTTAGCAGTATCCTTGACCTCTACACACTGAACGTTGGTAGCACTCTTCCCATAGCGTGAGATAAACAAAATTGTCCCAGACATTGCTCAGGATTCTTTGAGGAAAGCACTGGTTTAGGGGAGTGGTTCACTGACTGCAAGGATTTCTTGTAGATCAAGAGCTGAGGAAACAAGACACCACAGAGCTTACAGAAACAGACAGCATCCAATCAGAAACAATTTTCATTACAATCTAGATTTTCATTACTCAACAACAAACAATGTTGGTTAAAATACCCAGAGAACAAACTAAAATAGTAGATACACAGTGTATACATTCCCAAGAAGAGTGAGAAAAGGAAAAAAAATCAACCTGAAGAAGGCAAAACTCAAAAGACACATAAGATAATAGAAGTAGCCCAGTAGCCAGTGTAAACCCGCAGAGTTTATCCGAGCAGTTGTCAGCTAGAGAAGGAAATAACAGTGTGTTGAAAGAAAAGATAACACTGTCTGGCCTAGCTTTTAATAATGGGTCATCTAATTAAATACTAACAAAAGCACAGTCTGCGCATGGCAAAATAAACGAGACCTCATAAAAATCAAAAGCCTGGCCAGTCGCTGGAGAAGGATAGCATGTTTGGTAAGGTGGAGGGTCAGAGAAAAAGAGAAAGACCCCCAATGAGATGGACTGGCCAAGTGGCAGCATCGATGGACTCAAGTGTGTCAATTGTGAGGTTGGCCCAGGACTGGGCAGTGTTTCGTTCTGTTATGCATTAGGTCGTTGTGAGTCAGGACCTACTCGGCACCTAACAACAACAACAGTTTCCAAGGAGTAGATAGTGAGCTTGAACTGACAACCTTGCAGTTCACACCCACTTTGCAGTCTAGCGCCTTAACCCACAGAACCACACCAGGACTCCTAGATGTCCTAGCCAGAGTAATACGGCAAGAAAATATTTCCAGAGTGGAAAAGTAAACAGTCACCATTAGCAGATGATATGATCAAATACGTAGAAAATCCCAAGTCCACAGAAAACTTCTAGAGCTAATAGAGGAATTTAGCAAAGTTGTAGGGTACAAGGTTAACAAACAAAAATCAATTGGGTATCTATACACCAACAATGAGAAATCTGAAAGGGAATTTAGGGAAACAATTCCAATTAGAATAGCACCTGAAAGAATACAATACCTAGGAAAAAATTTAACCAGGGATGTGAGGGACTTATATAATAAAAATTATAAAACACCACCGAACACAATCAAAGAAGATGAAAACGTTTTATGTTCATGGATTGGAAGATTCAATATTGTTGACATTAATGCTATTCAAAGCAATCTAGATTCAATGCAATCCCAATAGTTTTCTTTACTGAAATAGAAAATCCAATCCTCAACTTAATGTGGATTGGCAAGAGGCTCTGAAAATTACAACAATGTTGAAAGAGAAGAACAAAATAGGACTCACACTTCCAGATGTGGCACTCTAGGATAACCACTGTACTACTAACTGCATGGTTGGGTGTTCAAACCCACCAGCCACTCCTCAGAAACCCTATACAGGATGAGTTAGAACCGACTCCATGGCACTTAACATCTACAGTAACCAAAACAGGCTGGTACTAGTATAACAATGGACACATAGACCAATGGGATAGAACTGAGAGTCCAGAAATAAATGAACACATCCATGGTCAAGTGATTTTTGACAAAGGTATTAAGTTCATCTGATGTTGAAGAAGAGGACCTTCAATAACTTGTTACCTGCCGGTCATTTCCAGCTCATACCAGCTCTATGCACAGCAGTGCCCAGCCCTGCGCCATGGTCACAATGGTTACGTTTGAGCCCACTGCTATGGCCAGTGTCGATACATATCATTCGGGGGGCTTCCTCTTTTCCACCCACCCTCTATTTTACCAAGTATGGTGTCCTTCTCCAGGGACTGGGTCCTCCGGATAATACGTCCAAGGTGTGAAAGATGAAGTCACCATCCTGGCTTCCAAGGAGCATTCTGACTACACTGCTTCCAAGATAGATTTATTTGTTCTTCTGGAAGCTCATGGCATTTGTAATTATTCTCCAACACCAGAATTCAAATGCATTAATTCTCTAGACTTCCTTATTCATGGTTCAATTTTCAATTGCATAGGAAGTGACTGAAAATATCAGGCTTGGGTTAGGCCCACCTTAATCCTCAAACGGACATCATCATTCTTTTACCACTTCAGACAGGTCTTTTGCAACAGATTTACCTAATGTAATATGTACTTTGAGTGTTGAATGTGGATCCAAGCAAAACGAAGTCCTTGACAACTTCAATTTTTTTCTCCAATAATCATGATTTTGTTTATTGGTCCAGTTGTGAAGATTTGTATTTTATTTACATTGAAGTGCAATCCATATTGAAAACTATAGTCTTTGATCTTCATTTCATCAATTAATATTTTAATTCATCTTCACTTCCAGCAAGAAAGGGCGTGTCATCTGCATATTGTTGTTAGGTGCCATGGAATAGGTACTGACTCAGCGACCCCATGCACAACAGAACAAAACCCTGCCCGGTCCTGGGCCCACCTCACTATCATCGCTACACCTGAGTCCATCGATGCTGCCACTGTGCCAATCCATCTCCTTGGGGGTCTTCCTCTTTTTCTCTGACCCCCC